CTCGGAGGGCTGAGGCGGAAGGATCGCCGGACGCCAGCAGGTCGAGGCTGCGGTGGCCGGGAGCGGCCACTGCACTCCAGTCTGGGCGACGGAGTGAGACTCCAACTCAAAAAAAACCCCCCCAAAAACCCAAAAAACAGATGCTGAAATTTGACTTTGAAGACTTTCCATGTGAATTTGAATTCTCAACCCAAAAGGACCAGAATTACAGCGTCTCCTACAATTTCTTACTCTGCTAGGACAACAGACTGAGGAAAATTTAGTCAAACTTTTCTAGAGAGCATAGCATAATGTCTTGATTAATTGCTGGCTTTTTGTTACCTTTACAGGTTAAAGGTTCATTATTTCTATTAAGCTATTTGGATTAAGTGATTGTATTAAATTGAATGCTATTTCACTTTTCTATGCTAATATTTTCCTTGGCATAAATAATCAAAAACATGTGTTTTGATGTACATTGAGTTCAAATCGTCTTTGTTGTCATTAATTTGGAAAATTATGATCTCCCAACTTTATTTATGTATGTATGTATGTATGTATTTATTTACTTTTGAGTCAGAGTCTCACTCTGTTGTCCAGGCTGGAGTGCAATGGCACACTCACGGCCACACAACCTCGACCTGCTGGATTCAGGTAATCCTTCCACCGCAGACTGCCAAGTAGCTGGAACCACAGGCATGTGCCACCATGCCTAGCTAATTTTTTGATCTATTGTAGAAACGAGGTCTGGCAAGTTGCACAGGTTGTTTTCGAACCCTTGGGCTCAGGCAATCCTTTTGCCTCTGCCTCCCAAAGTGCTGGGATTACAGGCGTGAGCCACTGTGCCCGACTGGTTTTCCAACTTCCAAAATAAACCTCAAAATACTCTGTCAATGTTTATTATTGGCGTGTAAAAGTTTTATTTCTTTATAAAAATCCACTATATTTATTCTTTATTTTTTAGAGTTGGAGTCTTACTCTGTCGCCCAGACTGGAGTGCAGTGGCCACTCCTGGCCACCACAGCCTCGACCTGCTGGGCTCCGGCGATCCTTCCACCTCAGCCTTCTAAGTAACTGGAACTACAGGCGCGCGCTACCACTCCCGGCTGATTTTTGATTTATTGTAGAGATGAGGTCTCACCAAGTTGCCCAGGCGGGTCTCGAACCCACGGGCTCAGGCAATCCACTTACCTCAGCCTCCCAAAGGCGCGGGATTACAGGCTGAGCCACCGAGCCCGGCTATCCACTATATTTAATAAGCAATATAATGTATCCAAATTATTTACCAGTTTATTCAGTCCGAGACAGAACCAATGGGACAGACAGGTAGATAGACAAGACATAGATATATGTGGGAATTTATTAGGAGAATTGATTCAGAAGATTCCAGAGACTGAAAAGTCTCATCACAGGTGGTCTGCAAGTTGGAGACCCTGGAATGCTGGTAACTGGCTCAGTTCAAGTCTGAAAGTCTCACAATTGCAGAAGACACTGCTGTGTTCTATCTCAAAGATGGAGAGCCTAGAGTTCTAGTTTCCAAAGGCAGGAAGAGGAGAGAGAAGACATTTTTCTTCTTTTCTCTTTTTGTACTATTTGGATCCCCAGCTGATTGGATAGTGCCTGCTCACACTGAGGGTAGATTTGCCCCACTCAGTCTCACCAAGATGGAAGTCTCACCAAAATGCTCAGGCTCAGGCAGTCCTCTTTGCCTCAGCCTCCCAAAGTGCTGGGATTACAGACTGAGCCACCACTCCTGGCCTACAATTTTTTTTTATTTTTTTTGAGTTGGAGTCTCACTCTGTCGCCCAGACTGGAGTGCAGTGGCCGCTGCCGGCCACCGCGGCCTCCACCTGCCGCGCTCCGGCGATCCTTCCGCCTCAGCCTTCCGAGTAGCTGGAATTACAGGCATGCACTACCACGCCCAGCTAATTTTTTTATTTATTGTAGAGGTGAGGTCTCGCTGCCCAGGCGGGTCTCGAACCCTCGGGCTCAGGCAATTCACTCACCTCAGCCTCCCAAAGGTGCGGGATTACAGGCTGAGCCACTGAGGCCGGCTTGGCCTACAATTTTTATGAATGCCCTAGGCCTTTGAAATTTTCAGGTTTGGTCAGCGCAGTGGATCAGCCTGTAATTCCAGCACTTTGGGAGGCCGAGGTGAGAGGATTACCTAAGGCTGGGGGTTTGAGACCAGCCTGGACAATCTGGTGAGACCTCGTCTCTACAATAAATCACAAAAAACTAGTTGGGCGTGGCGACATGTTTCTGTAGTTCCAACTACTTGGGAGGCTGAGGCCGAAGGATTGCCTAAGCCCAGCAGGTTGAGGCTGCGGTGGCCGTTAGCATGCCACTGCACTCCAGCCTGGGCAACAGAGTGAGACTTTGACTCAGAAAAAAAAAAAAGAAAAAGTTTCAGGTTCACACCACAGAACTCTCTGTGTTTTATTTAAGTGCAAAAGAAACGCATTTCTGAAAACATTTCAGTTAAGAATTATTACTAGCCATCACTGCTTTTTTCCTTTTTCGCTAACATGCATCCTTCATTGTCATCATTGGTATTAAAAAGACAAACAAAAACGAACAACGGAAGAAATATGTAGACTGCCTCTGTGTAAAAATATATTTTGCAATTCTTTCTGGCAATTTACTTTGAAGATGGTCTAAGAGAAAAAGACTAGCAGATTCTCTGCAGAAATCTGGGATGCCAGTTTGAATTAAATAATTCAGAACTATGTAGAAGTCACTTTAATTGAAGCCAATTTAACCGAAAAGCATTTAAGAACCTCTCTGCATTGATATAGGGCATGAAAACAAAGAACAAAGGAAGTCCCTGGGGCCTGTTGATTTTTCTGATTGACTCCAGGTTTAAGAGAAAACTACAGGTAACTGCCAGTGTATTTCCTACTATTATAATGTTAATTTAACCTGTTGCCTAGCTCCATTGATTCTATAACACAACACAGTTGTTGATTCTGTTAAAGTACTAAGTGGCCTATTTTGTTAAAGTTCAAGCATAGGCCAGGAACAGTGGCTCACATCTGTAATCCCAGCACTTTGGGAGGCCAAGGTGAGGGGATTGCCTGAGCCCATAGGTTTGAGAACAGCCTGGGCAACTTGGTGAGACTTCATCTCTATATTAATAATAAAAAATAAGCTGGGCTCAGTGGCTCAGCCTGTAATCCCGCGCCTTGGGAGGCTGAGGTGAGTGGATTGCCTGAGTCCGTGGGTTCAAGACCCGCCCGGGCAACTTGGGGAGACCTCATCTCTACAATAAATCAAAAATTAGCCGGGCGTGGTAGCGCGCACCTGTAAT